AGGCAAGACAAGAAGGGGAGCAGGAAGGGGAGGTGGGGGGGGGGGGGACCAAAGACAGACAGCTCCAGGAGGGATTTGTTCTATTTGCATGCGTCCGTCTCCCACGAGGTCCGGCTGGACTCGGCGAGCCGAGAGCACAAAAGATAACACTTAACGTATTTGCTAAAAGATGACGACCCTGCTCCGGATCTCGCCTGGAGAGCCCCCTCTCTTCCTTTTACAGTCGGGCGCTCAAACAGGGAGGAATGATACGAACGAGGTTCAAACTAACTGCCTCTTCCCGTCAAAAATAAATACATTCTAGAAATACATATTTCCCCGCGACAACTCCCATGGGGTGCAATGGTTGGCACGCCGGTGGCTCCGAGACGGTAAACCAGCTTTTAACGGTAAACATTACGGCGTTATAGAAAGTGTCAGGATAATTTATTTATATGGCCCCTCGGGGAGCCCCCACCCTCAGGCTCCCTTATTTAGATAAATACAGGCTGAGGGAAAAGGGGGAGCCACTTTTTCCTCCAATCCCCATTAACTCCCCATCTCTATCTGTCCCCATTAGCCGGACTGGGGGTCCAACGGCGTAACGAGGGGGATTATAGCTACTGTCACCGTCTTTGCTCACGGATCTAAAGCTGAAGAAGTTCGGAGGAACAAAGCGGAGTATCTAGATTGCGGTGCTTCTTCTACACCAGCGCACGCCTTAAACGTGTCCCATAAGCCACAGCGCAACCGTAAACCATTATCTACGATACCTCACTTTTCAAAATAAAGCGCATCCCGTCATACCTGTTCACAGAACACCAGGTTCAGGGCCCTATTCGTGCGACACAAGGTAGGAGGAAATGACGCCGAGCGGCTAGACGCGTCCGAATATCCGGGAGACCGAAGGTCAGAGGTCGAGTCGTCGCCAACCGTCACCGCAAAGGGAGCGCTATACCCCACGAAACGACAGGAAGCTTTCGAAACACCTGGAAACTAAAAGGAGTGACTGAGGCCTCATTCAGAGGAAATCTGCTCCACCTGTCAATGGATCTGTCTAAATTATAAATAATATACGTAGAAAAGAGCCAGACGGTGGATTGGAAAGGTTCAAATCGCTTTTTACATTTAGTATATTGAGGCATCTGTAATTTAGAAGCAGCACATTTACTGTGGTCACCATTTATTAAATACCAGATTGCCTGTGTTGCACTTCATAGTTAATTATCCCACAAATTAAAATAAAAAAAACGACATTTTTTTTCTGTGCATTGATCTCTACCAGCTGGACTTTTTTTTGTGTGTGTGCAGCTTCTCAAACAGCGTTAATAAAAATAAATAATAAATGCATAAAACGAGCCTTACCATAGACGCTGCTGCTGCTGATCATGTCGTGCTGGAACAAGAAGAGATGTAAACACTGGAGTTAATATTTGTGGCGGCACAAACACAAACAACAAAACATTTGTTTTGTTTGCTTTCCGCCCTGACGTGGTCACCGCGTGCATCCGCGCGTGCAGCTCAACAGGCTCCCGGCTCACAGCGGCGCATGACGCCCGGGAAACGTGCACCCGATCCGCGGAGCAACTTGTGACTGAGCCGCCGCCGCAAACACACGCGCGCACGGAAACCTGTCCGCGTGGAATTTAACCTCATTCGGCAAAAAAAAAAAAAAAAAAACGTCGTGCGCAGCGTCTTGTCACTCGAATGAGGAAACTTCTCAAGCCGCACGCGCTATTTCTCCGCCGAATTAAGAAGCCGCGTGCAGCTCTGTAAGCTAGTGTCCTGTCCTGGCGCGCGCTCGCTCTAACTAGCCGCAGCGCTGGACCGTCCGTCCTTACCTGCGTTTTTGCTCCGGTTTACCCCCCTCCTTTTTTCTTCTTCTTAGTCAGCGACAGGTTGACCCCTCACTTATGGGAGGGGGTGCGGGCGCAGTTTAGGCTCGCATCGATTCCGGTGAAGGAGGCGGTGGCGAGGTTAAGCCGGGCCGCGCGCGAGCTGGAACCATCCCGAGTTCAGGCAGGAAGCAGTGACCGCAGCCACTGCCATGTTGGAATTTCAGCGGCAGCCCCGCGAACAGCTGCTTCACACTGACCAGCGCTCACCCCCCCACTGCGCATGCGCTCACACCAAAGCGCGAGAGGTGGGGGGGGGGGGGGGGGGGGGGTTCGAGAGAGCTGCAACCACAACATGTCTGAAGGAACTACCCAGCTGCTGCCACAAACTGCAACATAACTTTGTAAGAAGCCAATCCTGGACTTGTAACGCCTGCATTTATTTGTATAAACTGTATAAGAAGCGTGAAAATCAAAGGAGACGTGAAAGACATTCATTGTGTTATATCTTAAAGAATCAAAAATCATCCATTGTTTTTACCTGCTTCTTCTCTTCCCAGTGGCGGGGGTCTCTGCTGCCCCTTATATTACTGTGTGAGAGGTGGTGTACACCCTGGCAGGTCTCCAGTCCATCACAGGGACACTTGGAGACAAACAGCCATTCACACCTGGGACAATTTAGAGTTACCAACCAGCCTAACATTTATTATGTCTTTATTAAGACAGGTTAATCTCATTGAGCCTCGAGGACTCATTTACAAGAGAGACCTGATTTCAGCAAAGAATGATAACAGCAACAACAATTGACAATCATAAAAGTGGCATACATATTTTTTTTTATACAAATTAAAATAAGATGGCGAAAAATAGCAAAACAGCTAGATTATAAGTAGAAAACTAAAAACAGGAACATGTCTGCATTGGTCCCTGCCAGGAGTCCAACATATTCTTAAAGCCACTTAGAGAGGTCAAGGTCGAGAACTTCAGATCTTTTTGTAAGATATTCCAGGAAACAGGAGCGGAGTAGGAGAAGGTCCTTGTGCCAAGTTCAGTCCTCACTGAGGGAACACTGCAGGTAATGATGTCCTGAGAGCGCACGCTGTAGCTGCACTCACGCAGAGACATGTAGGAGGAGATGTATGAAGGCAGCAGACCAAGAAGTGATTTAAAGATGAAAATATACCAGTGAGAGAGTCTGCGTGAAGTTAATGATGTCCAGTTAACCAGTGAATACTGGGTGCAGTGGTGGGTACGGTAGTTACAGCCAATTATGAATCTTAGTGCGCCGTGATAGGCAGCATCCAACATCTGCAGGGTTCTTGTAGGAGCGTTCATGTAAATAATGTCACCGTAATCGATGGAGAGAAGGAAAGTCACAGTTACGAGGCGTTTCCTAGCGTTCAGAGTTAGACAGGATCTGTTTCTGAAAAAGAAACCCAGTTTAACTTTCAGTTTCTTTACTAGGTTTTCCACATGGAGCTTAAAAAAGAGACCAAGTCAACCAAGATACCCAAATATTTATAGGGCTCAACAAACTCAATAGGGGACACCATTTGAGGATAAAATCGAAGGAAGAACTGCTGGGACGACTTCTTTTGATCTATGGGAGGAAACTGGAGTACAGCAGTCCCTGGTTTATTGTGGGGGATCCGTACCCTGAAGCCCTGCGATAAGTGAAAAACCGGGAAGTAGGAATAAGTGTAGGGGTTGAGTCGACTAGTTGATTCTGACATCTAGCGAGTTTTATTATTTCGCATCAACTAGGCGGCCACTACCGCCCGCAGAGCTGTCACTTCTAACCCGCGCCCGGCCCAAGCCAAAATAATGTGCTGCATGGGCGGGCCGGGTTTTTGATTACGTCAGTGGACGCAATTGGCTGATGACTGAATTTGGATTACCACAAACCGCTCGCAGCCGTTTGACCTTGCGCTGACCTGCCGGTTAAGAGAGGTCCAAAAAAGTCCAGATGGATCACTGCCAGCAAACCACCTGAAGCTTACCAGCCACCGCGTCAGCGGACACGCATGACCGGTTGAACGAGGTACAAAAAAGTCCAAATGGATGACTGCCGCACTGTACAGTAGTCCCTCCCTACTTTGCAGTTCGACTTTTGCGGACTCGTTCTTTTGCGGTTTTTCAACGTAAGATTGTACATGATACATGATTGTCAATTTTAATATTACTCAAGTGATTGGGATGGTATGGGATAAAAAGTTAACGAAAAAATACTTCGGACAGGTGTCTCCATTTTGCAGTTTACTTTCAATAAGCCTATACTGTAACGCAAGTCAAATGAACTACACTACCCAGAAGCCAACAGTGCTTCCCACCACTGCTTTCTGCTGAAATGGAGGGAAAGTTTTGCAACGCAAAATCAGAAGTAACAATCTATCTATGAAGCTCACAGAACTAGCAGGAAAGAGCAAATAATTCTGAAGCTCAATTATTCACGCGCATATCAACCTGAACGGGGAGGTAGGCTTTGTCGCTGCAGGGTTGGTCTGCCGAACGGGAAGCGAGCCCAACCGGAAGCACGCTGCTCTTCTGCAGAGCTGGTGAGTAAAATTTTCCAGTACAGTATATTTTTTCATTTTTTTTCATTTAGCCTTTATTTATACAGGAAGTCTCATTGAGCCACGAGAACTCATTTTCAAGAGAGACCTGTTTAGGGAGCACACAGTGGGGTTAAGGGCCTTGCTCATGGGCCCAGAGTGGAGCGAATTAGGGTGGGGGCAAGTGTGGGTGTTTCACCTATCCCACCCACAATTTTGATGTTGTTGGGGCCGGGGTGTGAACCGGCGATCTTCGGATCACCGGCCCACCTCTCTAACCTCTGCGCCACCACTCCCCATATATATGTATATATATATATATATATATATATATATATACACACATATATATACGTATGTTGTTAAAATTGCCTAGGTTTAAGAGCTTACAACATTGCAAGAATGTGGGAAGGGTTTATAAAGCCTTAATGTATATATATATATATATATATATATATATATATATATAAAACTAAAATAAACATGCTCCTACTTTGAGGTTTTTCACATATCAGGTGGTGTATCGAACGTAACCCCGCGATAATCGAGGGACTACTGTACCCAGAGAAAACCCACGCGTGCGCAGAGAAAACATGCAAACTCCACCCAGAAAGGTCCCCGGCCGGGATTCAATCTGGTAACCTTCTCGCTGAGAGGCGACATAAATAATAAAATCCTTTTTTTCTTTTCTTCTTCTTGAATATTTGTAAGAAAAGTGGTGGTCAGCTTCCGATAACCACGTGTTTGTTTCCTTATAGAAATGGATTAAGTGACGAAAAATAGGTCATCAACGGCGACATTTATGGAAGAGTGGTTTTCGTAAATTTTGGCGTATGTGGGCTTAATTTGAGCCGGATCCTGCCGGAACATGATCCGGAAACTCTTATTTTCAAAGGGTGCATTCCGGTAACTGTTTGCTTGGATTCGGAAACTCTCAGGCTTACTAATAGTAAAGTTATGAACAAATATAACTGCCTTGAACAAATAAAACTTACAGTATATTGGATATGTAAACTGAAAATAATTACATAAACACTCATTTTAAACACAAAAGCCACTTACGAGCTTTGTAAATCACATACAAACTGCCTCTTCACGTAAGAATTTCTGCTTCTACTCTTAAAAAAATCTCTGCCCCTAAAAGAGTGGTGGGGGTGAGTGCCGAGCTAACCAGGCAGTCATACGTGGGCAGGAGCCCACAGGCAGCCCCCATGAACAGACGGAGAAGGCGCCTGGAGGTTTCACGTGGAGTTGGACGACAACGAGCAGGACAGTGAATTCAGAGAAGAATCGTCAAGTAATAATAATAACGTTATCACAATGTCATCACTGTATGTTTCCATACAATGGCGAAATTAATCTAGGGAGTGGGGTAGGATGCTTGACAGAAGCGGTATTTACAAATGGTAAACGGAGATGTTTAACAACCAGTTAAAATATAACAAAATGCAGGAAATCGCATCTACTTTATACAAAATTTTCTTCAAGGGGACCACCAGACCCCCCACCCCTAAATTTCTTGGTGCTGCCATGGGACGGGAGGAGTCCAGTTCAATGACCTCAAGATTTTGTCTTGGCTATTTGAAGATTATGTGGTTCTGTTCATCATGCCGTGATCTCTGGCTCTCAATGGAATGGTTCATTTGCAGCAGAGTGTAAAGTGGCTGTGATAAGATTCTGCACCTCCAAACCTGAGGCCATGGACCTCAGTTGGACGACACTGCACTCTCAAGATTGGGGGTGATGTGCTGTCTTCAGTCAAGGATATCGTGCAGTATAGTTTATGAGTGACAGAAAATTAGCGAGATCAACAAACACATTGGTGCATCTTCCACAGTATTGCAAACCCTGTGCTAGTCCATAGTAGTGATGAGGGAGCTAAGCTGCAAGGAAAAGCTCTCTGATTTCCTGTCTGTCTATGTTCCTACCCTCACCTATGGCATTGAACTCTTGGTAATGACCAAAGAACAAGGTCACAATTACAAAATGAGTTTTCTCTACATAGTAGCTGGACTCTCCCTTAGAAACAGGATGAGAAGTTCAGTTATCTGGGAGAGGCTTTGAGTAGAGCCAATGCTTCTCCACATTGAGAGGAACATTTGAGTTATCTGGTCAAGATGCAGCCTGGACATTTCCCTAAGGAGCTTTTCCAGGCATGTCCAACTGTGAAGAGACCCTGGGGGAAACTCAGGACGTACTGGAGAGACTGTCTCTCAGCTGGCCTGGGAATGCCTTGCAGTCCAGAAGAGCCATGACCATTAAAACAGTGGAAGATGATGGATTGATGGACATGGTCCTCATTCTTCAGAATTCAAATCTTCTTGTTGATCACCAAGAGCTCTTTATTTTTTATGAGTCGTTTGCACTCAGTATACGATGCCAAGACATTCTAATATCCCTTTCCCACTTTTTAGTGCATCCAGTCACAATGCAGGATTGGTTCAGTTGTCATTAAAATGTGTGAAGAAGCAAGTGATTGTAT